TCACGATTGTCTCCCTCAATCATCTGAAGTTGTTGTCTATTGGGACATTCGTTTGATTTGTGACCGGACTGAAAACATCTAAAACACTTAAGTGTTTTAGGCTTGTTGTAGTGGTTCTCCTTGACCAGTGCCTTTGCCTTGGCAGGAAATCTTTGTTCAGTGGGATTGGAGCTAACTGCGCGAACTTGGCTTGGCTGTGGTTTTGCCATTGGCATGGTGGTTCTCGGATTGTCTACATGGGATTCTTATGGGAAAGGTCTTCTAGTAGAATAACTTTGAGAATGACGTTGCATTTGCATTTCCACCTTCAATGCGAAATTGACAGCCTGGGATAAAGACCAAATAGAGTTCAACTCCCATTTCTCTTGAATTTGTTCTCGGCCATTCCTAGGATGGCTTTGATACCAAAGATGATGCATCGTATTCCTACAATTAAGAGGAAACCTGCAGCAATGGAATAATAAAGAAACAAAAACATGATAACTAAAACTGTATGTATGATTTCATAAAGGGTTTTCTTCTCTAAAACAGAGTTTATATCAGCTAAAAGCTAGAAAGCATAATTACTAAATCTATTACTATGCTAGAGAATACTAGACGGTACGGTGTCCAACAGAAAAAGGTAGAAATGGTTAGTGAAGGTAGTGGGCAATGAAACATTATCAAGAGTCATACCAGCTCAGCTCCATGTGGTCCTCATCATCCCCCCATTCGACTCTTGCTCTCAAAATCGAACGCAAGGAAGAGAACCGAAGGCACCTCTCTCCCAATCTCCTGTTCTCTGCCTGATTCAACATTACATGCATAAATCGAAGCAGACTCTCTCTCCCGACCTCGGACGTACACCGATCCAGCCCATGTCATGCAGCTGAAAGCCTGAAACCCCCAACCATCACTCCCACCGACTTCGACTACTCCGACACTCCCGAGCCCGACATCCTCTCTATCTCGTACGCAGAGTACCAACATCGATTCCGTCACCCCTATCTATCCCAACCTTGGCCGAACTCCAAACCGACTCCTCCGACCGACCGGACTCCAGTTCCGAAGCCATACGCCCAACGCTGTACGAAGAGAATGAAGCCGACCCCAACACTCGCCTCCTGCCTCCTTGCCCGTCCAATCTCTTCTCCCTTCCTCTCTTTATAATAATAGTAATAATAATAAGCAACAAGTCATGAAAGGGATCATTGAAGACTAATTCCAGTGTTGATATGTCCCTCGAATCCCTCGGCCATTAATTTGATTCGGCCGAGCAGATTAAAAAGGAAAGTGCCCTCCCCAACCTCCCCTCATGGGGAGTGCCAAAAGGTTGTCGAAATTTTGGAAAAACACTATAATACGGCAATCGCCAAATTGGAAAACTTGAAGACCAATTTCGGGGTCGATTCGCTCCCCAGAAGCCCTCGGCCGTTGATTTGATCCGGTCGAGTGGACTTGAAATAGCAAGTGCCAACCTTAACCTCCCCCCGTAGGGAGGGAACATCGGGATCTTGTCAAAAATTTAAACTATCAAAGGACCCCCACATGATTGTGATTATATGATATATAATAGCTCTTTGAAAACTCAAATTTAAATAATATATTTCATCAATCAAAGGACCCCCACATAATTATGTCTTGTTCTTTGAATTTAGTTTGTTTTTAGCTTGATTGGGCTATAGCCGGGGGCTAGGGATTTGGGAGAGGCGGATCTTCCTCTCCAATTGAAGATCCATTGTATCATGTTCGTTTTCTTTCATATATCATCAATTAAAAAGCTTTCTCCTAGTTTTTCACATCATTCTTCTCAATTACTGTTTGAACTTTGCTGAAATTAAATTTCAGCCAAGATTTTTCTTCTATTTCTACAAGTGTTTCCTATTAAATTGGTATTAGAGCTGTTTCCTGGGTTTAAATAGAAGTTCTCCTCATTGATTTCTGTTGCGTCTTCGTCTCCAATATTGTTATTTTTTTGCTGTTTGGAGGCCATATTCACATCAAAGTTGTAGTTTTTTGCTGTTGGAGTCTAAATCCGGGTACCTATGGGTGGAAGAAAGGTAGAAGTGTTGGAAGGGGAGATCGGACAATTAAAATATAAAATTTTAGATTCCCAAACTCAAATTTTAGATTTTAAAAGTCAAATTCAACCGCCCACGAGAAGATGTAAAATTTTCCATCTCGGAGGAGATGTTGAAGAATTTGCTCGAGAGCCAAGCCAAAAATGTGTCGTTGGAGGCGAGGGAAGCTGCCGAAATCAGGGGAGTGGGGAAAATTTTAATTTGATAAGGCGAAGGGAAGCTCAGAAGGTGGAGATTCTGGAGGGAGAAGAGAGAATGCCTCTCATAGAGCCTTTTCCTAGGGAGGAGCTAGGTAGAGGGTGTGGGTAGAGGCATGAAGAGGTCGGGCATGAATGAAGGGGTGCTGAATTGGAGAGGAGAGGGACAAAATTTGAAAGAGGAGGGGCTACTTATGACCGAGGGGGTGCTGGATTTGAAAGGATAGTGAGGGATTATGGTCGAAGGGGTGTTGAATTTGAAAGGAGTGGGACTGATTATGATCTAAGGGGTGTTGAATTTGAAAGGAGAAGGTGAGAATTTGATGAAAGGTTTGAGTACGAGCTTAGAAAGGATGATTGGGGCACTTGGGGGGAACCACTCTCTTGGGGAATGGGAAATTATGGAAGAAACAAGGGTAATGGAGGAGATTCGAGGCTGTGGAAGCTGAAGATGCATATTTTTTAGGGAGATGATGCCAATGGGCGGATCTACAAGGTGGAAAGGCACTTTACCGTCAATAGGTTGATGGATGAGGAGAGTATGATGGCATCCGAGAGGTGCTTGGAGGTGAAAGCGTTGGCATTGTACTAGTGTACGGGTACGAGGCGACACATACGGACCTGGAGGGAGTTTAAGGACTACTTGTTGAAACGCATTCGAACCAACATGGGAGAGGACTTCTGTGATCAGTTTTTTGTCTTAATGCAGGAGGGGGTAGTGGTGGAATACCGTGAGCAGTTTGAGCACCTGGCCAGTAGACTGGACCAGCTTTTGGAGACTATACTGGAGGAGAATTTTATGAAAGTGCACAAACTAGAGATCCGAACGGCAGTTAGAGTGAGTCATGGGGAAAACTTCAAGAAGCTCACAGAAACAAAGTTATAGGAGAAGAGGGCGAAGGGACTTTATTTCAGATGTGTGGAGAGGTATACACCGGGGCGCCGATATAAAGATTGATCTCTTTAGTTTCCTATCATTTGTGATGAAGAGGAAATTGAGGAGGGAGCCATCTTTCCACCTTGCGGATAAGCTGGGTCTTTGGAATAGGGGGTATTGTTAGATCAGTCCAGTCCCTCCTGGAATGGTCCGGCCGGTCCTTCCTGGATCAACTCTACCATTTGGGAGACGGAGCTCTCGTATCTAGCAGGCAGAAGGAGGAGGGGAAATCCAGCCCCTTGTTGTGGGGCCCATGGCTTTAATATCTAATTAAGGGGGGTGGCTGATAGGAGGGAAATAATTCAAATTTAAAAGGTGTTTGAGGATTTAGGGATATTTTTATGAGCTTTAAGTATGGTGTTTTTCCCACGTTTGGGATTATGTCTTGTTCATTTAATTTAGTTTGTTTCTAGGTTGGTTGGGCTCTAGCCAGTGGCTACGGATTTGAGAGAGACGAATCTTCCTCTCCAATTGAAGATCCATTATATCTTGTTCATTTTCTTTCATATATCATCAATTAAAAAGCTTTTCTCCTAGTTTTTCACATCGTTCTTCTCAATTACTGTTTGGACTTTACTAAAATTAAATTCCAGCCTAGATTTTTCTTCTATTTTTACTAGCATTTCCTATTAGTCTATTGAATAGGATTACTATACATTTTGAATTCTAAATATGAGTCATCTATAAGCTCATCGGGATTATTGTCTTCATGATTGAGAATCAACGACTCTATGCATGTGAGTGGAGATTTGGGTGTCAATGTGAGGGTTCGTTGATTTTTGTTATTAGCCCATTTTGATTCTTATGGGAGGAGTGGCTATTGGAGCTAAACAATGTGCTACTGTGAACATGACATTGGTGTCGGAGAACATAATTGGCACTGCCCACTTGACATCGCAAATTAGTGTTTCTAAACTTGCTTGACCTTATTCCTTGTTTTTTTATTTCTTCTTGGAGCAATTGGTAGGGCATTTGATGGCATTGGTGGTGATGCTGGAGGTTCCATGGGCTATAAACATTTAGATTTCTCTGATTTCTATTTATTACCAACGTATGGTGCCTCAAAAACTCTTATACAAAAATGCCATTATGGACTGCAAACTTTCTTATCAGCTAGGTTTAGGAAAATTAATGTTTCCTTTTGATATATACTGGATCCTATCTCTTGAAGAATTATTTTAGTGACAAAATGCATATGCATCCTACAAGATCATATCATGCAAAATCGCATCATTACAAATATACATAATAAAACTTCACCCTTTGTCTGTGTTACAATGAACCACACTCATAATCCACCCTTGAGGATAAAGCCTTGGCTGTCGTGTGATATGCAACTAATGTTGAACTAGAGAAAGGGGAAAAGGTTATGCTGCTATCAAAATTAGTTATAATTTTCTGCACATGGTTTTGGACCATAATATTGAGCTTGAAGAGCTAATTTCTTAGCTGTCGTTGTTTATTACTATCAATGATATTATTTTATTTGCTTGTTGCATTCATGTTAATTTTATGATCTCTTGCCTTTCTCTGGTGGCGGTGAGCGTCTTCTTGGCACCCTTCTCTAGATATAGCTTCAAACGAACTGCTTTTGAATGGCCTTTGAATTGTACTAAGGATTTTCTTTTGATATCTGTCCCTATCAGATTACTTTTATCTTAGTTTACATCGTGAGAACTATTTGTTTCTGTTGCTGGATTTGTTCTTCTCCATAGCTATGGTTGTCAAGAAATAATTTATTCTTACATTTTTTATGTTACACTATCTTCCCTTAACATGTTTCTTCATCACTTTTTATGGCTATAGCCGCGAGATGTTCAACAAAAGGCAAGCCCAACAGTGGTGGGGTGAGAACTATGACAAGGTGATGGAGCTCTATAATGTGCAGGGGTTTAACCGCCAGGCTATTGTTCTTCCAACTCCTCCCCGCTCAGAAGATGAGGCATGCTACCGTCAAACTCCTATCTACCTCTTCACATGCTAATCTTAGGACTTTAGTTGATTAATGACTTTTTTAACCTTTTGCCAATAGAGTACCAAGATGGATTCAATAGAAGACAGTCCAGTGACACCACCGCTGAGCAAGGAGCGTCTCCCTCGCAATTTCCACCGTCCACTGAGCTGTAGCAGTGCTGCTTGTATGGGCTATTCCTCGTCAGACTCATTGGAGCACCATCCAACCCACCGTCAGCACCACTCCCAACAACAACATAACCATCATTTTGGGAGGCATGGCTATGGTTCAGGTGGCTTAGCTTCAACGCCAAAGTTATCTAGTATTAGTGGAGCTAGGACAGAGACCTCATCTATGGATGCATCAGTGAGAACTTGTTCATCACCAGAGGATGCAGATCATTCTGGGGAGTTGTCAGCCTCAATGAGCAATGCAAGTGACCTGGAGCGAGAATGGGTGGAGGAAGATGAGCCTGGTGTTTACATCACAATTCGTGCTCTGCCAGGTGGCATTAGGGAACTCCGTCGAGTTCGTTTCAGGTTAGCTCCGTCTTTCTAGATATCCGACTTGGTTTGCAGTTTAAATATCTTGAGAATGCAGAAAATGGTAAATTATTTGATAAGCCATTTGTACATTTCAATATCTGTGGCGGTTTAAATCAAATATGATCTATTTAGATATTCAAGTTTGATTCTTTCTTTGCATTCAATGCTGCATTCAGAATGCTGATTATTTTGTTTATCTACCCATAGATATGCCTTGAAGTGCAAACCTGCTTTCATACCTTTCTTCCATCGGGTCAACATGCTCTTCTATAGTTGCTTCTATCCTTAAGTTTCTTATTGTTAGGGTTATGTCAAGTAACCTCTAAGGTAATATTTTAATTTCCTAACTAAGGTCCAATCCTATACTACTGTAACTAAACTTGGTATTGCAAGACTTCAGGAATGGAAAGCATATTAGAGGGATAGCGGCTGTTTTTGTGGAGATAGATTTTTCTATTAACGGATTTAGTAGCTTCTCCTTCGATAGTTGCGTTATAATGGCGACATATGTTTTAAAGAAACAATCATGAAGATATTTTGCTTTTGTGTTTGAGATATGGTGAGAGAAGGATTTTTTCATTTTGTGTGTTTGGCTTTCTTTCGAAAAAGATTTTTCATATTTGGTGAGATTTGTTATGATCATCCTCGTTAATTTTCTTAGTTAGATAGTTTGATCTATCTTATTATTTTTCAATTATGTATTGCTTATATGTGATGGAAATTTTTTTTTCCTTTTCATCCCATAGATGTAGGTTATTATTAAGGTATATAAAAATAATGGCAATACTTTAATTTTCTTATCAAAGTCGTGTCCTTATATTAATGCAACTAAATTTTGTGCGAGACTCCAAGTATTTTGAGTGTGTTAGAGGAATCACAAATAGATTTACAAAGACAAATTTCCATGAAGGATTTTAGTGGCTTCTCCTTGGATGATTGCGATATAGTGGATGATTGCTTCGATGCGCAATTGAGTGAAAGATCAGGCTATATTGTCCTCTGTATAATCGATCAAAAGACCAATACATCTTTGATATGGATGCATTTTGGCTTGACATTTAGATTTATGTGGCTGACCTAAAATAGTAGCCCATTTTTGCAAGATTTTAGATAGGGTTAATTCACTATCAAGAAGTTACATAAGTGTAAAAATATGTGGTGCACAATAAAACACTTTCTTCAAACTGAAATGCACTAAGGGATTGACTGTTTGGTTGCTAATTTATAGCGTAATGTATTCCGAAAGCGTGTATTTTGAGAGTGTAAATTTCAAATGCAATGTAATTCATTAATGAATTTTGAATTTACTCTCTACTTTTTTTGGGTGTATTTGGAAATTGTTGTTTTTTTTTTTAATTTTCAAATACATTGTAAATTCTATGCCCATTTGGAGCAAGCTACATGTTGTCATCAACGGACAACTCTAACAGCCGCCTGCCTCTAATCACTTCCTAGTGTCCCCCACTATTGTCAACTGCCACTTGTTGCCGATCTATGCCTCCCTCGCCATTCGTTGGCCACTACTGTTGATTGTCATTGCCTCTCACTACTAACCATCACTTGCCACTGATCGCTACCACCACCACCACTGACCATTGTCCCATCGCCACTTCACATGAATTCATTTTACTCAAACAATATACAAAAAAGTAATCTTGTGCATTTGTTTTACACCTCACCAAACAAATTTAAATTAAATACACTGAATTTGCTTGCATTCATTTTATACCCTTTTTCTTTTTCGATAAGCCAAATGGCCCTTAAATCTAACCACCAAAGAGAATTCCCAAATCTCTCAAGACATACAAAAATATTAATTAACAGAAGAGATTTAACTAATATAAAAAAAAAATTCAACTTGAATGCTTCTAAATAGGGTATCGGCATACATGTCTATGGAATTGTGAAAATATTTTTGACACCAAGTATGTGTCAATATAGTACTATGCTTTTTCTTTTCTTTTTTTTTTTCTTTTTTTCTTCTATTTTCACATGAAAGTTTTCATCTTTTGCCTAAATCATCAAATCTCTTATGCACAAACCCCCAAGCACATTTAACTATATCAGGCTCTCACATACGTTTCTTTCATTCACACCAAACTCATGAAAAAAACTTCTTTTAATCTCCTATTTATACGAGTTTTGAGGAAGTGATTTTCGATCATAATCAAGGTCAAATTTTGATTGAAGTTATCCAAAATGACAAATTTTGTAAAAAAAATTTTAAACGTAATTTGATCCCTAAATGAAAGATTAATTTGCTATAATCATTTCTTTAAATTTTATGCTTATCTCAATAAAATTATTAATTCAATTTCTAACATTTCTCCCCCTTCATTTTGTAAAATGACAACAGATATTTAGGATCTTTTATATGACTCCAAAGTTAACTAACTTCACATGCTCCTAAAGCCTCAAATGGTCGACTATTGCATAATCTTAATGAGCCTAGATGATATCTAATATTAAGGCATATGAGTTATGAAGCATATTTGTTGTGCACCAAGATAGACAGCTAATGTAAAAAATGCACCTGCTATAGAATTTTTTAGTGTGAGGGACTAGTCCGGTTTACCAAAGTTGTAGGTGTAAATCATTTAACACTATATTCAGACTATTAACTTGTGATGAACCAAATCAATAGGCAATAATATTAAGCAAGTGAAGAAGTTATTCAAAAATATTTGTTTATAAGAGTTGAGAATGAAATTTTTGATCTGAATGCTATAATCATATTGATGTGAAACGTAATGCATGGAAACAAGAACTGCTTGGGGATTTTAATATAAGACTGTTAAAGCTTTGCTAGTTATAGAATTAATGCTTATCCAAGTTAGGTTTTCAGAATTATCAAGTCGAAATTAAGTAAGGCATGTGGTTACAACTAGATTAACGAGACAAGATCAAATTGACAACAGAAAATTAGAGAGTAATGTTATGGGGAGAAACAATAATCCATAATTAACAAATAGAACTTTTCACCTTGGGTCTCTCACTCACTCTCTTGTTGGTGGCACTTTTAATGGAGGAAGATTGAGAGCAATCGAGCAATGCCACTAGGAGACAAATGGCGCACAAAGTGTAGTCCGTTGGAGTGGTAGCCGGTGGCGGGTAGTCCATGAGATGACTAGTGAGCATCCAATGTCTTATCCATTCTTCCTTGATCTTCAAAGACGAAGCCGTGGTCGAAGTCGGGATCGGCCGTCCATGGATGTGGAGAACTCTCTTCTTGAGCCCTTGAGCCGACCACTTGTTGAAGCAACCACTTGTTGAAGCAAAAGAGGAGAAGATGGGGGGAGTCGGCTATGGTGGGGGCTAAGAGGCAAATGCAAGAAATCTGAAATAAAATTCAGATTTTAGTGGTTTAGGAGAGGGATTTAATTTGAATTTCAAATTAATCCAAGGAGGGAGAGGGGTGGAAATGGGGAGAAGAGTTGGGCTGAATTTGTGGAGTTATTAAGGTGATTAGGTGAGAGAAGTAAGTTTGGGATCTTAATTAATTGGATCCATAATGAGATACCAATTAATGAAGATTGGTGAGGTGGATAAAAGAGGCTTAATGGGGGAGAGAGAGGAGAGAGGGGCCGGCCATGTATTTGAGGAGGCTTGAGAATTTAATGAGTGGGGACCACAAGGAGTTAATTAAACATAATAATATATTGAACATTTAATTTCAGAATTAATTATATCATAAGTAACTCCCAAATTCAAATGAAAATAAGAGGGAATTTGAATTTGAATTTCAAACATGTGTAACTCCTCTTAATTAATTATCATAAGTAACTCCCAAATTCAAATGAAAGTAAGAAGGGAATTTGAATTTGAATTTCAAATATGTGTAACTCCTCTAATTAATTTTCCAAATTAATATGGCTTAATTAGGAAAGTCATTAAGAGAGGGAATTCAAAATTCAAAGGGGGGAGCTAGAGGGGGCTGGTGGCCAGGGGGTCCAAAGGGTGGCCGGCGGGCTTGCTGGCTGGCTGCTTGGACCGGCGGGGGGGGGTTTGTAGGCCGGCGGCCTGGGCGGCTCAAGGGGAGGCGGCGGCAAGGGGTGAGGGGAAGGGAGGAGGGGAATTTCAAGGGATTTGATTTGCTAAAAATCCACTCACCTCAATTTTCTTCAATCCGGATCTCCACGAAAATAACTTGGCAAAAATTTAGAACTCTCGAAGACAAAATAGTTTGGCGAAAAATCTAGAACTCACAAAGAGATCTATCTTCTCCGACGAACTCACTAAGAGATCGAGGAGGGTTGAACTCACAAAGAGAACATAATAGGCAAATTTTCATTCATAAAAATAACTAACTATTACATAAGAAAAAGGCCATATATAGGCCTCCAAATGACAAAGAAAATAAAAGACTAGAATGCCCCTTGGGCTACAATAGCGACCAAATACACATAAGGGCAAAAGCGGAAAAAACTGAAAATAACACACTATTGATCAAATTTTGACTGAAGTTATCACTTGATTCTAGTTGAACATTCAACTCTTATGTTACTTAGTAGGGAGTTAACAACAGCGGTGCCAAAGTTTGGGCTCAACACACTATTGATCAAACTTGTTAGTCCACAAGTTTAAGGTTATATGTGAGGACCAACCTTTAGGCATTTCTATACCAATGTATATTTATATGCCTTAAAATAATTTTAACTTTGGTTAATATCCTATTCACATTATCATGCGTCCTCAATTTCATTTGTTACCATCAATTGTCTTGATCCTCAAGTATTTCCCATGTAAATATAACCACTAAAATATGACTTGCTAGTTCAATGTAAATGCGTTTTGAGGGCATGTGGTTTGAATAAGCTGAATTCATAATTCATTTATCATTGCATCTATCTGCAACAGTCATGAAAAGTACATCACTTAATCAGTACTACTTAATCTGCAAGAGGGCATATCCTCTTTTCATTAATGTGATGCTCCTTCCTCTTCAAGCCATTGCAATTTATCTTAGTATGCTATTTGTTTCTTACAAAAGAAGTGATGTTGTGTCTTTATACCTCCAAGAGTTTTTTTTACAAATAGAGATAGGCTTTTTTTTTTTTTAAGTGATGTTGTGCTTCTTAGTTAATACTATCTTCTCAAACTTCTCTTCTCGTTTTTCATTTGTCATTTAGTTTGGAAATAACATATTTAGAAAGAAGGAATTGTTAACATTTTTTAGGCTAATTTTGTCTCTAACATACAATATGTTGTCATAGAAATGTTTATTAGAGGTAAGAGAATAAAAGTTATAAAATCTGATACTCTTCATCAACCATCATATCTATATCCGTAAATCCTTAACAAAAGAAACAAGCTTATTAAGAAATAATTTTTTAGGTATATCATCTCGTGCTTGAATTTCTTTTGTCTTTGTTTTTGATAAAGCTTGTTGGAGTTGCTTTTGAGCACATAAAAATTCTCCAAACTCTTTATAGTTATTTTCTCCGGTATCTCTATGAAGACTTCATTCACTAAATATAGTTGAATTATTGGGAGAGTTTTTCATCTATCCAATCTTTATATTCTTCACTCGTTGATGTGCACATTATGTAGATGAAGATAATCAAGTTTAAAGTCTCATTACAAGAACTAAGATCAAAGCTCAGAGAAAATACCCAGTTATAAGATCCCCATAAATGGCCCATAGATTTAAATATTTTAAATGTAATTTATATTTATTTTCCATGAGATTCGTTTTTAGTCACACCTACCGTAACCTAGATTGGTAAGGTTATGTTGTTGACTTCGTCCCAAAGAAGAGTTGCATGATGACAGGTGGTTTGTACAAGGCCCAAGCAATAATATGTGGTTTGTACAAGGCCCAAGCAATAATATGAATAGGTATGGATGAAATATTAAAATAGGTAGTTGAAACACTTTCTCATTCATGACAACTTAGCTCCTTTCCCTCTTTGTTACATCAACTTTTTCCCTCCAAATTTGGTTGTCTAAGAGTCTTGTAATGCCTATAATTATTGGTTGAAATGCTTTGTAATTTTATTGATTAATGAAATATTCTGGTGGAGAATTTCTCTGCACTTGGTGCTTGGTGGCTTCAAGCAGTTTGCTCATCTTTGGTGGTTCATGTAGTTATCTTAGTATTTTCTTTCATTTATTTGTTACCCCTCTTAAATATCTGCTCCAACATCTTCTTCCACTTCATAAGCAGCATTTAAAACAAATTAATTAGCAAACTAAATCTTAAAATCATTCTAAATACTTCGACATAGCTCTCAGCCCAATTAGGGAACACTTGGATCTAATCTTATATCCTACGCCTCAACATCCCCTTAAACTCCATGAAACTTTATCATCAACTTCAGATCATAAGCGAATATTTTATCATCATTTTCAGTCATTTATCCCACATAAAGCCACTTCCTAACATAATCTTCCAAATTAGCCCAAACTAGATTATTTTTAGCATTTCTATTAGTATTTCTTTTTATTTCTCTCGTCATTCCTCCATAAACTCTAGAACACATATGGAAATATCAAATTAGAAATTCATTTTTTATATCCATTTATCTCATTAAAAATACTACCCACCATCATCACTCGTGATCTTATCCATATTTGAACGCCCAATGAGCGCCTTCACAAGTTCATGTCTGACCTTACATCTTGGTTCTTCATTGGCAAAAAATTTGGGGCATCATCCCTATTCTTATTCTCATACTTAATGACCATAGTATTATGAACTAGGCTCTGATACCCGTTGGGTTTTGTGCATGCCTCTGAGCACAATAGGCTCTTTCACGTATACTCAGAAAAAGCCCATGCAACAGCCTTCTTTTAGTCTTTTATTTATACTTGTTTTAAGCAGGCGATTTCAAAGTTAAATCTTGCTAGCTAAAAGTTTCACTTGTAGTTAATCAAAATAATTAAATTTATGAAAAAATGTTAAGTTCGATTTATAAAAAGGAAGGATAGTTTGCAATTATCCTAACATTACCTATTTGAAATTTGTGATTTTCTTTGTGAAATTGTTGGTAAAATCCTGCCAACTGTTAACATAGTTTCCAAATTAAATTAAGGCCTATATCTGATCCAATAAATATTAATTGTCTTTGGTTTTGATGTGGACTACATTAAATTAGATTTTTTTTTTTTTTATCAGGATATCTTGGTGCACCTTTTATAATCGCAATGTGTCCATAGTCACATGCTTTTGTAAAAAAATTAATTTTATTTGTCTTGGTTCTCCACCGTGAGTCTCTACATTTCATGTAAATGTCTTCAAATCTTACCGTTGCCTTCAAACTATCATAAATGTTTTCATTTTTTTAGTATTTCATACCAAGAGGAAAATTTTGTTTTAAGGGAATTTTGATGTTGACTACATTAAATTGGGATTTTTTTTGTCAAGATGTCTTCATGCATTTTTTATTAGGATCCTTTTAAATTGCTACGTGTCATTAATCACGTGTCTTTGTAAAAAAAAAAATTCATATTTGTGACTTAAATCTCCAATTTGAGTCACCACTTTTCTTTTAAAATTGTTTTGTCTTCAAAACTATCATGAATGCATTTTTTTTTTTTTTGTATTTATACCCAAAAAAAAATGTTGCAGGCCCAAATGTCTTCAAAATATGATACAGATATCATCCTATTTTAATATTTGTCTTCAAAGTAACCATAAATGTATTCAATTTTTTGTATAAATTTTGGGTCAAAGATGAATTTTTGGAGTTTTAAATGCAGCATGTCACAGTTTTGAAGGTGTCCTGATGGAAAATGCGTCAGAAAATATGACACAAATGTTTTTATTAAATTGAATCTTCATGGTTGTAGAACTTTTTTTCTTCCTTTCTATTTTAATTTTGCATGCCCCCAGTTACGTTCATATAGAAACAGTTGAAGTTTAGTTGATTTTGTAAAAGCAAGTTACATCAGTTGGAATAAATTTCTTCAACTTTCTATGAAAATCAAATCTGTTCTGTTGGACCTTGGAAGCCATTTCCTTGGTATTGAGCCCTTTTTCTGACTTTTTTTCAATTTCTGGCAGCCGCGAGAGGTTTGGTGAGATGCATGCCAGATTGTGGTGGGAAGAAAATAAAACAAGGATACATGAGCAATATCTCTGAAACAGTAAGGTTACATAGAGTTCGTTTGGGACGGCTTTCTTTCTACTTCTTAAAGCAGCTTTCTAGTACAAATATTTAAATTTTGTACAAAAAAAGCTGCTTTAAGAAGCAGAAAGAAAGCCGTCTCAAACGAAGCCTTAGTCATCAAGGTGGACGGGGCCAAGCCATCAATTAAATTGAGTTGGATTTATATCAAGTTGTGCTGATCTTTGCCAGTAAGTTTGCTCAATGTTTTTATTTGTTTACTTGCTTTTCCCCATTTTTTCTTCTTTGAAATTTGTTAGTTATGCTGTATTGGGGCTTTTCATATTTGGAATGTAGATTGTAGGTGAGAAGTTTGTTGAATGAAAAGTAATTATATTCCCTATCATTTCATATTATCTTTTATCAACTTGCAGTTGGAATTATTTAAATGTCTCTTGTTTTGATGAACCCGAAATACATTGTAGCATTTATGCACTATAAAGAAGTAAATTGAAGGGTTTTTTTTTCTCTCTCCCTTTCAAATATTAATTGAAAATTTGATTGAGTCGGTCAATGGGATAAAATGTTGGATTTCTCATTCAGTCAATCTAATTTGAGCCATGCGCAGAGAAGATTTGACTCCAATCTAATTTGAGCCATGTTCTTTGATGATAATATGCAAAGGGAAAGATATAAATATTTAATATCTTAAGGATAGAAAATTTTAAGTTGTTGCCGTTTCATGTTCTTGACACTTCTTGACCAGTTTATATTTGTTTTTTTTGGTAGGCTTAAGGACCGACCACTCAAAAAATTCAATCAAAATTTGACCCGTTTGTTAACGGGTCGACTCAAATCTTGAATTTTCGGGTCGATTTTGAGTTGGATTCTTTCCAATCTGCCTTCTAGATGAAGAGTTGAGGCTGGCTTTTCATAATTCGTGTATTAAGTCTCACCAGCAACTGGAGTGGAGGACAAAACTCTAGCTCTAGAGAGTATTTTTCTTCACAACAGAATTAGAGAGGATCTGGTTGGCAACTCCATCCTAGTAGTGGTTCTTAGATTTACTTCCAATGCTTCTTGGATCAATCTTGCCATCCTTTTTTCAAATTCACATATTCTTCTCTATTGTTATGTTGTTGTTCTATTTCACTAACTCTTCTTATTTATGGCACACTTCACTCTGAACACACCCTTTAGAATGTTGAATCCATAATTATTTGTGAATAATTCCAAATTATATTGAGAATATTTGGTGGAAGGAGTGTAGAGAAATAGAGAAAAAAAAATCTAGAATATGAAGCTTTGAGATTCATATAAAATAAGCTTGAGTACAGAAAATTGTGTACACTTGAGCTCGTTTGCTTGAAACTAGCCCTTAGATTGTAGTCTCCTATTTGAGATGAGTTTATTTGTTGATTGACAAGTCCCTTTTGTGCTGAGATCGAGTTAGCTCAACTTGAATTGGGTCAGTTTTGCTTGAATTGAGCCAAATTATCTTGAACCCGATTTATTTTTAGATATTTGATAGTGTATTTAGTTCTCCAATTATCTTACATCTTTAGAGATTTATTCTGAAAAGAATATCCACTGTCCCACCTGCATATATTGGAATTGGGAGTGAATGTAAAATTTCTGAAATTCAAAAATCTTATTTTAGCATTTTTTTCAACTCATTGATGAGGTTATATTTGATTTTCATCCTATTCAACGAGGAATCTTGATATTTCCTCAACTCACTATTGAAGTGATATTCTTTTAGGGTTTAGGGCATTCATAATATAGAAAGAAATTTGGCTCCAACAGAGACATAATAGTAAAATTTTCTTGCATCTTAAAACTTATAAAAATATAAGAGTATGCAAATGAAATGGTTTTTGTGAGCAATGAAATGGCTGCTTTGGGTGAGGACGGCGTAACTAATAAGATAATGTGACATACATCCATTTCAAGAACGTCACAGAGGAACTCGCAAGTGTATTGCTTTCTAATAGAAAAAGTAACTCGGTACATCTAAGTCACCATATCTTTATTTTGTTCTTAACCCAGCTAATCTTATATGGTTGCAAATTCTTAGTTTTTTTTAGTTGTAATGCTTGCACTAGGGAACGGGACATCACGTTTTTAGTACACCCATTGTCTATAAGAAGTTAGCAAAAATTATCGTTAATGGCACAATTGGTGTGGAAAATTGCATTACGTTGGGAGGTAGTAGCTTGTCGAGGTGCTAGCAAAAGTTTCTCCAATATACAAACAACATTTTCACCCTCATATGCTACAAGATATTCTATTTCAAGTAAAAAAAAAAATGTTAGAGCGCTATCGTTAATGGCACAATTGTCTTAGAGTTAATTGCACCAGGTCTAAATTCGTTGAAGTGCTCAACATGCTGTCGTCTATGAGTAAAATTTTTGGAGTGCCTAGCTAGTTGGAGTTCCGCCTTATTAAGAGCGAAATTGGCAGCTTACAATAAGGTCCAAATAGAATTGAGTTCCAATTTGTCTTGTATGCCCTCCTTTAGCCCCCTGATGTAGTGAGTGACTAGTTGAGTGTCTGATGAACTAAGGTTATTGCGAGCACTTAATCTGTAGAACTCCTCAGAGTATTCACGTACAGTCCGGTTCCCTTGAACGCAATGTTGATATCTGACATATAACAGTTATTTATAGTTAGTTGGGAGGAAATGCCATCTCATTAATTGTTTCATTCAGAGCCAACTCCTAACAACATTTCTGTCTGACCGTCGCCTTTTTCTAGCCTCTATCACCACGATATTAATTTAGCTTCATGTAAATAAAAAAAGATAATCAACTACATTTATTTTACACTCATTTAAAGAGCTTCAAATATTTCAAAAATAATATATTTTATTTTACCTTGATTTTTTTTTTAATCTGGCGAGCCCTTCCCACAAAACTTTTTTTTTTTCCTCTTACGGAACTAAAATTTTCTGAAGCGGTTTTTCAACCTCCTTTGATCTCATTCATGACATAAGCGGATCATTTTTAGAGATTATGACATCATCGATGGCATAAGCTTTATCCACTAAGAATTGGAGGGCGACCGGCGGTCAAATCAGCACATTTTCCTTAACCATCACATTGCTTACAAGAAATCAGCTTGGAGAATATTATTTTATTTATGTAAAGAAGCTTATGGCTGTAATTAGTTTGGTAAGTATTTTAATGATGAGTGTGGAAGCACAATTTACTTGTCTAAGCACTTGTATTGTTACTCGAATTCTTAACCACCAACCAATAAGCCACACGACGGAAGCTTGGAAGATTTTAAAAATAAATCTTTTTAATATAGAAAAAATAATTATAATAAAATAAAGATTAATTTTTTGATACTAAGAAAAATTATCGTATAATTTAAAAATTTTTATGATAGTTTTTCTTATTTAAGAATTTTGGTTGTAGGTTGAAAATAGGAGTGAGGTTAGAGAGAGAGATTATAAAGTTAGTAATGTGCAAGCTTCACCATTAAGCTTGAGTTTTTTTTTTTTTTTTTAATGTGAAAAACTATATAAAAAAATCAAGTCTAGCACATATGAAATGATCTCCCAAGGGAGTTAATAATTATAATGAATATTTTTTCCATAAGGACAACGAGGAGCAGTCGGTTTGGTGGAAGAATTTACAATCAATAAGATGAACATTAAATGTCAATAATAATAATATGCAAAATTACTAAATTAGTGTTTCTAGAGAAAAATATAAAGGATTAGTAATATAATACCAACAATCATTCTTCTGAGGGCATCTCCAACTGAAAAACTCATTTTCCACTCTAAAATGTATTAAAATTTCAAAATGTCATAATTCATCTCCAATCAAATTCCATTTCTTTCTTCTTTCGCGTGCTTCCTGTAAAGGTAACCATGTCTCTCCTCATTCACGCGCTTTTCTCCTCCTTCGTGCTCATCTTCAGCAAATTACGCAACCCAATTTTTTGGCGTAGGTAAACAGTCTGATGCCAATATTGACTTCACACAGTTCACCTGCCAAATTTTGGCATGAGATTTGGAGTTCGAATGCAGTGAATCACAGACGGCATACGACGATATGCAGTTGAGATGGTCACTAAAGTATGAGACCAAGAAAATTGATTTTTTATACCTTTTTTATCATATGCTATATCAGATCACCCCCTTTAAAATCCTACCTCTTTTTTCTTTCAAGAATGCTTGGATATCTACGTTGTTTGGTATGGTAGGGCCAATAGCGGTTTCCATAAATGATCTCCGATTTAATGCCTGCATAATTAGATCAACTTATTCTATTAATAGTCAACTGGATAGATCAGTTCCAAGTAATTTTCAAGACTCGAATGGTTTTCTTTTTTTAATTGATGGTGATTGGGTCATTTAGTAAATAGATTTTTTTTTTTTTGAAGTAGAGTTATAGCAATTGGGACAAATTATGAATTTCAAAAAGAAAAACAAAGTTGATTGATTGAATTTTATTTACTTGGGATGAAATTATTAAAATATAAATTGACACCTAATTGAATAGTTGATTCCACATAGCTCGTCTTAGTCTGTTAGTTAGGAGATTTAACTATCAATCAGGAGATCTTGAGTTTGAGTCTTGTGAATGTAATTTGTGTATAAGTTTATCTTAATTGACCTAAATGTCCCGAAATAGTAATAATAATTGATTCATGGCTCCAATAACAAACTAGTGGAGCATCTTTATGATACGAGTTCTTTTATAAAGCTTTTTGTTAATATGTAGTGCCTTATGCTTATCATATAAAATTCGCTCTAATTGATGCTTTAGGAATAGGTCGAGCTAATACCTCTCACTTTATAAGAGGCTCTCAGCTTAAAGGATTTGGAAGAGACGTGAATTTTGAAGATTACAAATTCAAGGTATATACATCACGAATATTATTATAATGAATTTTTTGCTCAATGTACAATAGTCATTAAAGAATTTTTCTCCAAGTACTATCAATAAATAGTAAATTATAAATGAAAAATATATTTTATTATATTTTTTAGATAAATTCAATTATTTAATTATATGTTAGATTAGAACTAATTCTTGCATGTTATACATTATTTAATGAAATTGAAAAAAATTAATGACAAACTCTCATTTATTAAGTTAAGATTGAATATATTTAAAATCATTTAAATTAAAGATTTATGTTAATATATTTTATATCATTATTAATTTAATATCATAATCGAATAAAAAAAACTTGATATTATTGTTATTATATGAATTTTAGAGTTATTAAATTTACTCTGAGATTAATACTACATTAAAAAAATATCTAACAAATTTTCTACTAAAAAATCATTGTACTTCTATTTTAAAATAATCATTAGAAATTTTTCACAAAGATATATTTTTCAATAATCTTCACGTAATTGGGTGTAATTTCATCAGTGGCCCGCCACTTAAAAAGCGGTTGATCCAAAAAACCGGCTAAAACAACTATCATAACAGAGCCAATCATAGCGAACTATATAAGAATAATTTAATTCCGCATGCACATAATTACAAACTTTATTA